ATTTTTGCATATTTACTATTTTATAAGATTCCACATAATAAGAGCATTAATGTATATTTCTAAGGGTCCAGAGTTCCTCCAGTTACGGGCTTGATCGCATAGATGACTATTAAATACAAATTAATTTGTGGTACACATTAATTTGGTCTAATACTGAAGTGTTTATTGTGAACATAAAGAATAACATTATTATAACAAATAACAATTAATAACAATATAATAACATTATTAAATTATTTGTTGGTTGTCATCCAAATCATAGAGAATAATTTGATAAAAAAATCCATATGAAACCTTTTACATTTTAATTTCTTTTAAGTTAAATAAACATAACTATTCTACTGATGTAACCGCCTTCTAYCTAYTTTCATGTAACTGYTTACTTATATTTGATATTTATTATGACAGTTAAATCATTTTAAAGAACAAGGCATTATATATGTATAATACTACATGATATTATTGTATAATCATTACCTCAATTTTTAGTTTTGTATTCTGTTTAACAATATATATTTTTATAGCATGGTATAATGTTAAATGTACATTATTAATATACTGATTACCCTTTAAGGCATTATTGTAATTAACAAAAAAATAACTTTAAGAAGGCCTAATAGTTAAGGTAAAAGTATACAATAGATAAATTAAGTCTTAAACTACTCAAGATCAGGTAAAGATTACAGAGCTATTAATTAAATGCAAGAAACTCGTGGGTAATCTAAATATCACAGTCATTTATCAYTTGATATGTTATAAATAAAACTAATTGCTAAATGGTTAAGTGTCCAATATCATTGAAATTAAGAACCTATATGTATATTTTATTCAGTTGTGTATTTGTAGTTATGTGTGTACTGTGTATCAAGGGGAGTAATCAAGAGGCTGCCTCTGAGTTTTTTATGACTTRGTGTAACCACTGTRCCCTGGTAGGTAATAGCCCATAGCTCATAGGATATAATTTAGTATTAACTTAAGCAGTTAATTACAAATATTTCAGTTATTGGAGCTGCAAGGTGTGAGAAACATTAAATCACAAAACAATTAGATTAAACTATCCTCTGAAAACTTTATCATACAACTATAGGTACATAGAATAATATAATATAAATTCTAGGATGCAAATATGCAATATCCTACTAGTTTTAATTATTTATATTAACT